GAATTACATGACCAATCTTTTGAGGAAAACAGAAGTAAAACACAAAGAGTAACTGATACATTAATTAAATAATAAGGCCGCCATTTATTTTGGATCACTCGTCTATATAAATTGTGTTTAGTATTTGTACATTCATGTAGCCTTGCAATTGAATGTCTATATACATGGAACGTTTTTTGTTTTCTAAACTATATAATGATGATTGTCATTGAATTCAAACTCTTGGGAAAGCAAGTAATCATGAAAAAATAACTATGTCTGGTTTATGAGGTGGTATCATCCTTTATCCATCATCTGTTTTTTGTATTATTGTTGTGACATCTGCATAGATGCATATTCTATCCATATCTTGTTTCGTTCTGCCGTTATACATGAACGCGTAAAGATTTTCTTTGCTAGTAAGTTCAGGTATATTTGTTTCTCTTGTCTTCTCTTTCAATATTGTAATCATGAATGTTTTCGCTTTTACTGTCCAATAAGTTTTTCTTTCTACTATTTACTGATGAATTTTTTCCTACTTCAGGCTTATATATATATATCCGATGCTTGAAACGATAAAACAATATGTATATATATATACGTGATAAGATAATACTTATCTCCGTTATCAGCTAATAAGAAGTCGACTATCTTCACAGATTCTAAGCTATTTATTCTTGTGTTTGAACTGTTAAATGGTTATAATGAAGATAACTGGATTTAAAATTGAAATAACAATCGAATTTGATAGCTAATGCTTTCTAACACTTTAATGAAATTTGCAATTCTCATTAATATTGTTCCCAAACTTTTTCCTTTTTTTTTTTATATGTGGAATATATTTAATCATACGGAGTGGTCCATAAATAGTTTTACTATAAAAAATTTGAATATCTCCACTCTGTTCCACTCTATAGGTTTAATTTCTTTTTCTATGATAGAAGAGACTTCACAGCTGCTTCTCCATAAGAACAACATTTATAAATATTGATTTGAACTATCATCATTGGCTTCAATCAGAAATTAAGATGGCTCTAACAAATCCATGTGTGCAAGAATTGTTCTTCGACGAATATACTCGATTGTGTATTTCGTTTTCCGATGCATGGTTGTTTTTTCTTTCTCATCACAAATATAGATATCTGTTTTTTTTAAGCACAATGAAATGAAAGTGAGAGTTACTTTGTCTCTCCTTAATGATGCTCGTTTTTGTAGAGGCTTCGAAAAAATATACTTCAAAATTTAAGATTCATATCATGACTTGTAACGTCATAAAGTTTTTATGAAGAAAAGAACTCTGAAATCTTCTATATCATGGAGAAAGTTTAGCTCCATAGAGTGAAACGAAGTAAAGATATTGAAGTTGTTTATTGTAGAGCTACTTATGAATTGGCTTGTAATCTGATTAAACAGGAAAATTGTGTCACTTAGTTAAAAGCAAATGCAAGACAGAATACTAATAGCTTTTTTTTGTTTTTAACTTTCATATTAATAACTTCTATCCTCTTGTTTAATCTGACTTACAGTCCTACAATTGCGTAGTTTCAAAAGTGGTTTCTTCATCCGCTTTTATTAAAAGTAATTTGACCTTGTGTCTTTATTTTTATTGAACAAAAGAAAATGCATTATCTGTTTGTTCTAAACAAGGAAAAATTTCTGTATTTTTATTAACCTACCATGTATAATATTCCATTCATTGAATATAAGAGCTTTTTTTTCTCTATAAATATCATATTTATATTCATTCTTTTACATTTTTAATTATTGAATTGTACGTAGTTTCAATTGATGATTTTAAAATAACATACGATCAATTTATGATGTATGGTCAGTATATAAAGTATGCTCAAATAAAAAATTTGTACATATTGTGTCCTAGATATTTGTAAAGTACATTGCGTAAAACGTATAAAAAATCGAATTGAACTATAAAAATGTATTTCTCACAAAGAGATTAAATTCCAATGATTTTCATTATGATATTTGAAAGTTCATAATCATTTTATTGAGTTGCTTTTTTTTTGTTCGGTACTATATTCGTTTAATAAACAGTGTTTATTAAACACTTTTTATTGTAATGAATTAGATAATGAAGACTTAAATTTTAACTTATGATGAAAATAAACTTTTAAGTAAAAACTTTATTGTGAACAAATAATGTAATAGATAAAAGAATTTGTCGACATATTTGATTGTGTATTCAAATGAAATACTTAAAAATTGGACTAGAAAAATGTGAAATGTATCAATATCAAACTTAGAAGACCAGATAATAATTTTCTTCTATTTTAATTTGTTTAAGAGTGAAACCTAAACTATTAATATTTTAATCATGCGAAAAGATCGCCTATGAAATAAAGCTTATCAAAAGATGAATGAATATAAATACACGATACTACAATATAGAATATTGTGAAGTAAATTGTAAAAAACTAAAACGTTCACTAACATCAATGTTGTACTAAATGTACTATAAGTTTTTCAACATTCATCCGAATTGAGAAATAATATGTCATCCAATATCTTTTTTCTTGTTTTTCTCACGTTCTTTACAACCTATGGATAACCACAACAGATAGTGCACACGTATAATTCGAGTCTCTACACAATGCTCCTTTAGTAATATTTGTATTTATTTGATCATAGCTTATAAATGTGCGACGACAATAGTTTATCTGAGCTTCTACAACAAAAACAGTTTTCTGTATAGTACTCGAATCCTTCTTTTGATTTAATTGGTTTACCAGATGATATATTGGTGTCGAATACAGAAACAAAACAAGTTTTCATAAAACTGATAAAATGAACTTGTTCTACCCTTAAACGATCATTTCTAGGATATCCGTCGAAAAAAGGATAACTAATAAAAGAAATTTCTCTCGTTTCAAAACAAAACATCCCATTTAGTTTCAAGAATGTCCATTTAAAATACTTCGTAAATATACCCAATTGGTAGAGCCTTTCAAACGCTGTTAACACAGAATAGTTTTTTTGAAAACTAAATAATCATTTCCATAAAAATAATATATCACTACAAATTGGATAGGAAGTTAAATTTCATTGACTGAGTCACAGAGCGCAGTTTACAAAAATTTAATATTCTATTGTTTAAAATAAAGGCCTATAGAAGTCAAATAGTGCATCTTCTGATAGTGAACTTTGGATGATATATTATTTCTCAGTTTGGATATTTACCAAAAAATTAATGCTGCAAAACTTTTAGTCAATATATTAACGAGATTTCTTCTGTTAGATGGTAAACGGCTATTTTTAGAAGCACAGACGCATAATAAGTGGTAAAATAACCACAAACTCCGGAAAGATCAGTCAGATCTTCGAACAAGCGCCGCCTTCTCGACGCTCACGCTGGATAAAACACTAGTTTTGGTACACACTTTATGGAGCAAAACTCTTGGAACAAACACCACACTCAATGTCTACTAACAGTCGAACAACAAATTATTTGTTTCTTTTCAGAATATCTAGTGACAGACATCAGTTTAGAGCTGTTACTCGACGGTAATGGCTAGGAAGAATTCGAATAAAGCATTTAAATAGCTGAACTGATTTACTGTCAAGATTTATGAACCTAAAAACTTTTATAAAACTGCAGGGATGTCGATGTATGGAAAACTAAGATCCTCAAAACCAGTTTTCTGGCATCCGATCTGAGCCTTTTTGGAAATGATTTTATCTGATAGAGCAAATGAGATATCTTGACTCTCTCAATGATGTTCATTCATTGAACTTCATTCAATTTATAGAAGACTCCAAAGTGCCAAAACACTGCAAAATCGTTGAAATTTTTCATAAAAAATAAAAGAACAATGCTTCTTCATTCTTCTGCAAATTGAATGCAATTCAATGGAGAAACATCACAGAAAGAGTCGATATATCATCTCATGTTGCTCAGAATTATTTGCTTTATTTAGTTAAATCTTTCCCAAAAAGTTTTAAATGGATGTCAGAAAACTGGTCTTTGGAGCCTCTTGATTTTCCAAATATATTCATCTAAACAGTTTTATTAAAGTTTTTAGATTCACAAATCTTGATACAGTATAGTTTCGGCTATTGAAATGATTTTTCAAACTCTTTCTAATTATTATTGTCGAGAAGAAAACTGAAAAATAAAATTACTCTGAATTTTAGACCATCATTATAAATAAAAGTTATTTTTTTCGTTATTTCGTTACCTACTATCCCTTATTGTATATTTCGAAAATAAAAAATAATTCTTCAAAAACTTCACTATTCTAATACTATAACGAACGGAGCAAACCAAAACATTTGTTGTATCCTTCATTATATTCTATTAACAATAGATTATTACAATTAGATTAATATAATTAACAAAGGTTTACTTCAAAGCTGATAAATATCTACTATCACAACATCATCTTAGTCTTCACTTTTTACAGTACATATAGTATTTCATTGACTTGATTTTCTTCGAAATCCTAGGGTATCTTTTATACTAAAATCAATTTCACACGTATAAAAAACCGAAAGAAAAAAAAGCAAATATTTTTTATTCCATAGTCTCATGATAGGATTTCTTTCAACTTATATTAGTTTATTCTTTTTTTGTATTTTTCATAAGAAATTTCATAATTTAATACAATATGATTTCTTTTATTTTCATTATTCGAATTATATTTTTCTAAGATTTTATTGAACAAACTTCACTTGTATGTTATTTCAATTCATTAACAATTACCATTTTCAAGTATAGTTTATCACCGGAAAGTTGCTAAGTTGTTTCGTCATGCGATATATAAAACATGTCATATGAACTTATTTTTTTTGTATCTTGACATCGTACATAAGCACAAATATATATTATTTTCTAAAGATAACCACGAAAAAACAAAATTCTCTTTCGCTCTCATTGTGTTAAAAGTAAAATTATGTCACGAAAAAAGAAGAATATTGAGCATATTAAAGAGGGGAGAAAAGCAAAGCAAGGCCAGCGAATAAACAAAAGACAAAAAAGAAAAGAACAAATATTAAGGAAAAAAATATTAACACGCTGAACAATAATAAGCATTTTGTGCCATTGAATATAATTTGTCAATTGGATTTTGACTACGATTTATTGTGTCTTCATTAATATCACCATCACTATTTTCATGTGATGGATAACAATTTTCATTGATTAAATGACGATGTCGACCATCAGCTATTATAATAAAAAATAAAAAAATATTCAAGATAATCGACATATGAAAAAAATTTATCAATATACCTGCTTCATGTTTATTATTTTCATCATTTGATGATCCGAAATCATTTGAAATACTATGTGGTATTGATTCTTCTGATGAACATCGACTATTTTCTATATACGTAATAAAAAAAAAAAGAGTTTTTTCAATGAAATATGTATATAATTGCTTACCAATATTTTCTCCTTCTTCATCAAACATATAATGATTTAATAGACCATCGTTAGCTACTTTTTTCTTCGATTTTTTTTCATTAATTTCATTCGTATTATTCTGTTGTTGACGACGTTGTAATTTTTTCATCTAATATATATATATATATATATCGAAAATAATTTCATAGATTTGTTCTATTTCTTTTTTTCTTTTTGAATTATGTCACACTTACTTTTGCTCGTTCATTTTGAAACCATACTTGAACTACACGAACTGATAGGCCAGTTTCACTTGCAAGACCTTCTCGAACCTGTTGAATACACAAACAAAAATTGATTAATCAATTTGAAATAATTTATTCATATTACTTTTCGACATGGTTTTGAACTAACATCAAATGCTTGTTTAAATTTACGTCGTTGTACTGATGTTAAAATAGTTCGTGGTCGTTTAGGTCCACGACCATTTCGTAGATGATTATGTCCAGATTGGTGTACACCATTACTTATTGCAACAGCATCAGATGAACAACAATCATCTTCATAACTATCTTCTTCATCACCTAATCAATATAAATTTCAAGTGTTTAGTTTTTGTTATTATTGTTGTTTTTTTTAATTAAATCAAATTCAACTTACTTCGATTACATCGAATTGTAGGTTGTTGATGATGTGATGAAATAATTTGTTGTTGTGGTTGTTGATGATGTTGAAAGTCGGCATGACAAAGAAGTAAACCATCACGATACATATAAGGATCACCTTTATGCAAATGATCATCACATAGAGAACATCTGAAGCATTGTAAATGAAACACTTGACCCGATGTTTTCATAATTATTTCATCCGGTTGAAGAATTGCTTTACATCTTGAACATCGCATACCGAAAATTCTTAGAGAAAAAAATGATTAAAATAAATTAAATTAACGAAATATCATTTTTATTTTTTTTTAAATATATAAAAGCAAAAAATCAATCCATACTTGACTCACACAATAGTTACATATAAGAGATAAACACCTGTGCTCTACACTCTCAACTGTCAATCTTTCTCTTTTGTGAAACTAGAAGTTTTTTTCCCTACCTATTGTATACATCTAATGACAATGGAAACTGATCATAATCAATGTCTGCTCTTTCTCATTCTTATTGTAGCATTGCCTGCCATATGAACACTTGAAAAAAACGACCAGAGCATGAACGATCGATTGTCGCACACATAAGTATCTCACTCAGTTTCTCCGTCATCAATTGAACTGGAAAAAAAAGGAGTAAAGAGAGGGAAAGGGAATATGTAGTAAAGGTCTGTCTGTGCATGTAAATAAGCTACATACAACAATTGACAATGAGGAGCACTTGAATAACGAAAGAGAGCAATAGAGACGGATAGAGAGAGAGAGAGAGAGAGAGAGAGCAAGAGATCGAGAGTCAAAAGGTGTATATGCACGTGCCCTGTCGATTCTCATAAACAGTAAAATAGAAGTACTCTTACGCTCGATGTATCTTCATCGATGCCCTGAAAACACATATCGCAGGATGCGCGTCAACTTCCGTTCACAATGACTTCCGTTTTCATATCGGACATATATACAACTCTTTTCTTTTTTAATATTCATTCCTCGTCCCGGTTTTTTTTAATGCTTTTTGTCTCTTTGACTGCCTCAAAGAGATACATCTGCATCCGTTTGAAAAAACAAAACAAAAAAGTCTAATTAAAAAATTATCCTACTGATCTTTGAAATGTTTTGATTGCGCAGTCAATGATGAGGAAAAAAGTAAAGAAAAAGAGAAGCGCACATCCCGGAAGCGATTGATATTACGAATAGATGTGTATATTTGCATTTTACTTACTCGAAGTAATCTCTTTTACAATAGATTTTTCCTTCTTTGTGATAACATGTGGCTACCAATGGTTCTTGACATTCAACACAAACAAGACAACGTTCATGCCAACATGTTCCCATTACACATAATAAAAATTGTTCATCGATTGGTAGTGAACAACCTGCACAAATCGTAGGTCGCACTGAATTAGATGGTGTCAACGGTGATTCATGCATTCTATAATAAAAATTTTATTTAAAAATAAACAAGAAATTTATTGCTACCTCTCATATGGACAAGGAGTAACTGGTTGATCAAGAAAATTAGTTAGTTGATAATGATTATCATCGTATGACTCCATACTCGTTTTTTCCTTCGCTTTCTTTTGTTACTCGAACTAGTCTCTCATTCCCAACAAGGATAAGTGATGATAAGGATGCTCATATACTCAAAATGGCTACAGATGGTATCGTCCTCTTTACTTATTTTAAAAATTCAGCTGCCGCCACTTCTCAAATACAGGCAAAATATACTGAAAAAAAAAATTCTCACCTTTTGAGTCAATTGATGTACTACTATTGATTGGTACGTTAAGGTAGTTGCGTCAACAACTTCTCTGATGAGAATATGTATGTATGTGTTTCTTGAGAGAGAAATAAGAGAGAAAAGACGGCAAATATTTGCTCAATTCGGTAGCATGCTCGTTACCGATTGGTTGTATGAAGTAAAAAAGAAAAAGGAACCAGAAAAGAACATTTATTGTGTTACCATCATTCATTGGTTGTTTGTTAAAGGAAAAAAAGTGGCATGAAATATACTGACGTTGACGTCATTCTCTTTTATATTCGCTTATCGCTTTTCTTTTTTCTTCTACTTCTTTTTTTTTTGTCATACATGATTTTATTAAGGCAACAAAAATAGTTTACCAACAAAAAAATTGTGAGTCTTTATCAAACTCCTGAAGACATTGAGTGAAATGCAATATCCGGTTTCATTCTTCTTTATAAAATATATAAATAATACTCTAGGAATATAAATAACTCTAAAATTATTTTGTTAATATTTTCTATGAAGAATAACAAGGTTAATTTGAACTGTTTTATAAAGATGTCAAACGTTTTGTTAACATTAGAAAAAAAAAAAAGAAAGAGTACGTAAAAGAAAACTTTTTTAGATTAAAAGTTTACGATGAGTAACCTCATAAATTATGAAGTAGAACTAATTCTAAATGATTTCGACAATCACAATAACAAGTAATTAGAATAATAATGAAGACTTTTCACTATTATACTATGCTCTTTCGATTGTCAAATCTTTCGACTAATCCATGACTAACTAAAGAAGCGGAGTATCGGCTATAAAATGTCACATTCAAAAGTTAGTAGGCTCCTTCCATTAAACATGCAAACATTAGTAAATAAGAATTTTTCAATTGAAAAACTAGACACTATAAAGAATATATTGTTTTAAAGTAAATTATCGTTTATAAATTTATTTGAAAGAAGGATATTCGTTTTTCATTAAACCATCATCAAACATTATTGACTTTTTATATTTTGTGAAAATGATTTTTTTCAACATAATTTGATATTACATTTTTTCGATAATCATTGTATTTCAAAGATAGATAGAATTCTATAAAACTTGTATATTTTATAATAGAATTAATAGTTAGCTCTTAATGAATTATAGATGAACATTGTTTTATTGAAAACTTTAATATTATAAACTCATTTTGAACTCTATCACAACAAATTGACATTTAGATAAACGTTGCACAAAACAATTCTCATCCGATAGACATCAAAAATAAAATACTGGAATTGACCGAAGAATGTGGATAGACATGTACAAATAGAGAGAGAGAGAGAGAGGAAGAGGCAAAGAGAGATGATCCTCGATAAGAAAAAATCGAAGCAAACAAATATATCTCTCGTTCAATTGTTTTTCCTTGATTCTCAGCCTATTGATTGTTCAATCTGGTTTGATAAACACATACGCTAACATCAATACATAGACATAGTCAGAACACACAAGGAGGTGAGAATCTCAAATATACACACATATTGATGGCAGTACAACAGTTATATCTTTATTTACAAATTAATTTATGTGAAAAGAAAAATTATGAAGTTCTTTAACCAACGGGAAATAAACACTTGATTGATTGATCGATTGGTTGTCTTAGTTTATGAATAAGTCACACATTTATGGTATTGTTGTCGGTGTTAATCAATCGATCATTATCATCTATTCAATATTTGTGTACGTTAACAAATACAGGTGAAAGTCAACTAGAGCTTCTAAAAAAGAAATGAGTGGCAGCAACAGAACATAAGATCAAACACATCAGTGCGACATCCGCCGAACGTGATCATCCATGCTGTTGACGAATAATGAATAGCATTATATGGCATTACATGGCATAGGTAAAGAAAGAAAATAAAGAGCGACAATGAACAATCTTGTGCAAGACACGCACACTTCCTGACTCCACCTCTTCAATTCTTACCGACCGGAGGTGGGTCCACTTCAAAGATTGTTTTATTCTTTCAATGAATGACATCTGCTTTTGTCTTTCCTTCTTTTTTTTTATTTGTTTGTTTTGTTTGATAAAGAAATGCTATGATACCATCTATCATTGGCGCATTAGAAATTTAAAATTCAAAAATCGCGATTTCGAATTTGTTTTTTTTTTTCGTTGCTCACTTTTCTCATATTCATTTCTAATTCAATCAATTATTTACTTTCGTATTAATATATCATATAATGATTTTTGCTTAATCTGTATATAAAAGAATTTCTTAAAAGAGAATATATGTTAAATTTGATGATACAATTAATTAATATGAATATATAAATAAATACGAGTAATTAATCAATGCCTCGTCATCTATTTTTTGAATCAAAAACAACGTTGTCAACAAGTAAAAATATTTTAAATCAATCGGAGAGGTTTGTTAAATTTTATTTTATATAGAATAGGATTTTCGTTTTAATTTTTAATCATTCATAGACTTATTTATCATTCACAAACATCAAAAGAAAATCGGTAGTTTTACTATAAAAAAACCTTTATTATTACAATGATTCATCTATTGTATATAGAATTCATAATAAAGAAAATGAACTAGATCAAGATGATCAACCAAGAAAACATTCACCAAATAGAACGGACGATACATTCGTATTCCGAGAACATAGACAAAGATGGTCTAAGGTATATACAGGATACACTGAACTTCTAGAAGCTATTAATTTAAGGAGCATGAAATTAATTTCTATTAAATATAATAATTAAATTCATTATATTATTCAAAAACAACGATTCGAAAGTGTTGTAATCCATATACAGTAAAGCCATCCATAATGGGTACTTCGAGAATCGACCAAGGGAATGTGTTGCTGGTATTGAACCTCTTCATAGTGAGCATCTCTCTGTAATGGACACTTCCATACAGTGGACAATTTTTAAAGTTCTAGCAATCACTTTTTGCTAGTAATACACCTCTCTATAGTAGACATTATCATATAGTTCTATGATGAATACTTTTAACACACTAGAAATGGTATTATGAATATAATTCAGTTTGTAATTAAACTTTAATCAGATAATTCAGTTAAATTTTCCGCCATTGCTATTGATGTTTTCTTTATTATAATTATATTTGTGTTTTTTTTTTAATTCCTGAAAAAGATTTCTGATCGATAAGTATGAATAACCAATACCATTATATCTACAATACATTTTTATTAAATCTTCAAAATTGACTACTTAAAATTATTTTTTAGAATCAATCAACATCCGATAAACGTCAACAACGTCGATCATCATCCAAAATGGGCACTGCATTTTTAGGTTCTGGATCAGCATTATCAGATTCACCATCAACTGTACCTAATGGTATACGATCAAATCTATTTAATAGTCTAAGTCCTTCTCGGGATAAAGATGAAGGCCGTATTCCACCATCAACAACAACTCTATTGAATGATTCACGTCCACCACCACGTATTAAAATTCTTGAATTACGTGTTGAAATTGAAAGTAAACCAACATTAATCGATGAAACATCATCATCAGTTTTAAAATATAAAACACCACAATTTAAATCACATGTTACTTTTCAAATGCCTGCAATTGATGAAAATCAAAATTGGAAAGTTGGATGGATTCAAGCTTGTACACATATGGAATTTTTCAGTAACGTTAAAAACAAAAAAAAGAAACGATTTCAACAAATTAATTGATTCTGTTCTATTTCTAGATACCTATGGAGATTATGGTTATACATCATGGGAATTTCCTGAAATGGTAACACGTGAAAAACCATTAATAAATGATAGTGATGGACGAAATTATCCTTGGTATGGTAGTTCACATCAAGTTGTTACTATAAATGGACCTATATCACATACATCAAAATATACAGTTACAATGAGAGATTTTTTCCATCCTTGGTATGTTTTATGATTTTATGTCGAAAATTTTCTATCATCGACTTACCCACTCATCAGTCACCCGCGCAGGGGATAAGGGGAAAGAGTTCGAACTTAAAAGTGAAGAAAGCTGACTAGGGAACATTCCCAGGTGTCGAAACGCTTTCCAGTCGGGACTTAGAGCGTCTTGTAGATCTTAGTGAGCTGTGTCTACGGTAAAAAGAGTTCGAGTTTCTGGCTTGTTTCTGAGGAGATCGAACGTTTTTAGTGAATTTCCACTATAGGGCCTGACATTTAGCAACAAGACCAGATTGTCGAATTTTGATCTGAAACTTTAGTCACGTAAAGATGTCATCTAGACTAGTTTTCATAAAAAGTTTCAGAACTTTTGGGCTACGTCTCTCTGAGATATGAAGCCTTCAAAAATTACATACCATATATATTACCTATCAAAAACGCCTTATACCTTGAGGACTTCATATCTCAGGGAGACGTAGTCCAAAAATTCTGAAACTTTTTATGAAAACTAGTCTAGATGACATCTTTATGTGGCCAAAGTTTCAGATCAAAATTCGACAATCTGGCCTTGTTGCAAATTTCAGGCCCTATAGTGGAAATTCACTAAATATGTTCGATCTTCTCAGAAACAAGCCAGAAACCCGAACTCTTTTTACTGTAGACACAGCTCACTAAGATCTACAAGATGCTCTAAGTCCCGACTGGAAAGCGTTCCGACACCTGGGAATGTTCCCTAGTTAGTTTAAAATATAATAAAAAAATAATTACATACACGTTACAGATAAACCAAGATCAAGATTTTTTCTTAAAAGTTTTACTTCACAAACTCCTGATGAAAGCATAACAAAATCTAATTTATTAATAAGACAAAAAAAAAAAGAATACAATTTATTTTAAAAGAAATAATTAACACATACCAGCAACATCGAATTCGATTTCAAGATGAATTTGATGATTTGATCTTTTAATTATTGATCGAGCATCTTCTAATGTCATACCTTCTAATAATTGTTCATTTATTGCAAGAATACGATCACCTGGTTGAAGAATACCAGATCTAAATCAATAGAATATATGATCAATTAAATTGAATTTTGATTTATTTTTGCATAATTATTTCAATATAACGAATAAAATTTTACTATAGAGAAAAATTTTGTTCTTCTCTATTGTTATTATGAAAAACGCATGACTCTCCATCATATTAACAAAAGTGACAATGTTTTGTATCGTTGTTAAAATACCAAAACAATCTAATCATGCCAAAAGGAATCGATAATTTCGAACAGTCAATTCTTAGTCTGGTCAAACGTCTTTACACTTTGTTGGTAACATGATTAGTATAAAATAAATCATTTAAATAAACACTGGGCAAGATTTTTTTTTTCTTTAATTATTTCAATATTTTGTGCTATACTAGACTTTATGGATTCAATTACAACCATTGACTTAGCTAAATGAATTAAAATGTATTTTACATTCCTACAAAATAAACATTTCATATTGATTTTGCCTGTTGGAGATGTCATAGACATGTACAGGGTTCTATGACTGCATAAAAGAAATGAATAGTGTCCCTGAACTGCCAGCAGCCATGAAGTCATACGGTTAAGTTAGGCATCTACTAATGAGATATTCAACACTTCTGGCTAATGAACAATATCAAACCAAAGTGCATAAATGTAAACAAAACTACATTGTACTTTGCTGGATGGAATATGGCATCGTGTATTCGAAAAGCGAGAAAAGAACTCATTGTCAAGCAACATCTATCAGTGAAACATGGATGCATGACTCTAGTATTAATACAAAAGACAATGTCAACAAAATAGTATACAGCTCAAGTAGTGCCAATCTACTTATCGAAGAAGCTAAGTCTCATATATTGTGTGAACAATGACAGATACCATTGAAAGTTTTATCCGGAATGACAGCGAAAATGTGTCAGACCACCGATAATCATACGAAACACTCACGATATCTATATGGATGCAGAAAATTCTCTCTCTCCGCTTTTATCTTTTGTTTTATGGTACTATATTTGGTTTACATCCTATACCGAAAAGTATAAGGATATTTAAATAATTGTTATTGTTTTTCAATACCTTTCAGCCACACCACCTGGTTCCAAATATCCAATAACAGGTGGTTGTATAAGTACATCTGAGACAAACGAAGTACCTTGAATTGTAAAACCAAAACAACTAATTGTTTCTCCATCTGTTGAAATTCTATTTGAGGATAATGGATCATATTGAAGAATACATTCCATAACTTCTGTATGACACATTTGATTACCCGAAACTGTTTGATATGATGAATTAAGTGAACCTATTACAGAAAAAAAAAAGCATATTTCTTATTAAAATTTTAAGTTATTCAGCAGAAATATTTAGTTAAGTAAGAATAAATAAATAAATAAAAAAGCATCAATACATAATAAGCAGCTAAATATATGATTATGCAAAGAATAAATAAGCTTCCTACGTTTGAGTTATGAACATGCGTAAGGCGGATGAGAAAGCAAAATTTATCATTATATATATATATATATTGTTTTCTTCAGCTTCTTTAATGATTTACCTAACTCAAGAAGATTATAAGTTTTAATAATCCATGGTGAAATTTTGTTTGATAAGTTATTCAATGATTTAATACCTATACATAAGTTTTTCATTCAAAAAGAAAATTTTTTTTTTGTGTCATGCATGTTAAACTCGAAGCTTTTATTTTCAAAACAAAAAGAAAACAAAGAAAAAGAATATATTTCTCTTACTCATTGAATTATGTCTTGTTTTATTAAGCGATTTTCGACTAAGGTTCTGATAATTATTTCTCATTGTCCAACCATTCATTGACATTGGTGAACGATAAGATATTTGATGATTATTATCAATCATTGAAACTGTACAAAACAAAACAATTAGAATTACATAAAATAATTTGTTTTGGTAAACCTCGATTTAGTGGTTGATCAATAATCATGTTTAATAATGTCAAAGCACTTGCAGGTGTTACTTCAATACGACAAAAATCACCTGTACATGATTGAAGAATACTATTAGCTTCAACTAATGATATATCAATAAATGATTTTTCATCAATTGCATTTATTTGATCACCACAATGTAATGCACCACATCTAGGTTTTTTTTTTTTTATTTCAATAAATAATTTTTTTCTTTGGAAATAAACCTTACCGATCGGCAATACTTGCTGGTTTAACATTATCAATAATAATAACTGAATGATTATTCCGAGTCCATTTTTGTGTTAAACTAATACCAATTGTTGATCCGAAGGATTTTTCAATTTCAATTAAAAGTGGACCAGCTGCACGTTTAACACTATCTATACATAGAAAAAATTTTGATAAAATATCTAATAAAGAAAATGAGAAATATGCGATAGTTAAGAAGTTTTGTCCTTTAAATTATTATAGCTAGTGATATATTGGTTGTCGTAAGTAGCGTAAAGATTCGAACAAGACGAATGTTTCTATTATGTTTTAAACTTGAAATCATATCAAACTCTTTTCTATATACAGACTAAAAATGGCGATTTAAACCCAATCTTATTAAAGTTTCGTTTGTTCTAATAAAGAAACATCCTCAAATACTAACATCTCAATGGCTGAGTGACTCTAGTGGCTGACTTGTTTGAGCCTCGATATTACCAGCTATGAAATGACCCTGAATAAATCATTAACGACTGTTTGCCTCGGATCATCTATCTGATAGCATGCTGACTATGTTGTGATTATACATGTGCTCCTGTGGCTGATTAGTACATAGAGAGAGCTCAAACAAATCAGTGCAAGAATCGTGTCAGACAACTAACAACGAATAATTAGAAAGTTTTTAGACAAGATATTTGTTTACTTTTACTCCGCTAGAAAGTATCATAAACTATGAGTTAGAACCAAGATTTTGTGCTCGTTTTGAAGATATACTTAGAAATATTGTGTCTATTTTTGTTCAAGAATAATGATGAACTTTTGAAAAAGTTGAAAAGTTATTTTATTCTTTCAATGCAAAATGGTTGTCAAGTTTTCAATATTGAATATTTAGAGAAAGTGAAAATTGAGGTGCCTTGTCGAGAGACAAAAAGAAGCCTTCAAAAATTGCATTTTGTAAGATAGCTTCTCATCTACAAATTGATATGTAAATAAAGATCTCAGATTTTAGATTCGGATTGTAATATGGAAAATACAAAATTCTAAGGTCATATTCGAAACGAAAATCTTAACTCATAACTTTTGACTCTTAAAAATATACTTTCCAATCATCCTTTGTTAGTCTTAGAGTAAATATCGAGCTATTGATTCTACTGTTAGGCAGCATCTCATGTCGAAAGTCAGATATATTCTTTCTTCTTCTTTCAAATTCTGATCATATTGTTTTTCTAAATAGAAGACTTTAATTAGCTGGATTTTAAAATATGACATATATCATTATTCATATTAATTTCTTCATATCGTAAATTTGACTACATAAAATTACTTTTATAATTCAATTTCTAATAAATTTTCTACAGTTAAGAATCTAACATAGAAAGACTTCACAAACAGATTCCTTCTAAACTTTAATAAGATGTATATTTCAATAAATCTTACCAACAATAGCGACATCATATTCAATAAGAAATAAAGTTGTACCACGGCATTGTCTCATAAGTTTATGTGCATCTTGTAATGTCGCTCCACTAACATTAATTCCATTTATAGCTAAAACTCGATCACCAATTTTAAGTGTTCCTTCTCTATTAACAAATTAAAATAGAATTAATATATATTCAATTTGTTAAATATACTAAACAAAGATAAGAACAACTTTTCTTTTTTTTTTTTTACCTATCAGCTGGTCCTTGTGGTCGTATCCTTGTAATAATAAGTGGACGTGTTTTAGCTTTCTCATCTGAATCTCCACCACGTAAAATAAAACCATAACTTTGTCCTTCTTTTTCTAATTGAATTTGTATCGTTTTCGTATGTACTGTATTAACTGCATGAATAGCTTCAAATAAAAAAAAATCAATATACAATAACAAAAAAAAAAAGAAAGACAATTATGTATATAGAAATAAAAAAGTCATTATGATATACATACGCCATTTAGGTAAATCATATTCAATATCTAATGTTAATTGATCTTCTACTTGTTTAATTAAATCAATAACTTGTTCATGTTTAAGACCAGCTGTTTTAATACCATTTATACCAATTAAAATATCACCAATTTCTAACATATCAGATTTTTGTGCAATTGAACCTGATTTAAGTTGTGCTACACGTGGTTTACCAGCTTTATCAATACCACCTGATATAGTTAAACCAAGTGGATAACCATCTTTTTTTGCTAATTCAATTGTTGTTCGTCCTTTAACAGCTTATCAAAGAAAACAAAAAGATAAGAGTTAAAATTTCAACGACAGATATTAAAATTTAATACCACGAAAAGAAGGTACTGGACTAGATGCAACCCATCTACACATTGCTATAGCACGTTTTAAATCCCATAACGAACTGCCGTTTTCACAGCTCATCCCCACTTCTTTATTTTGAGTATGTAAAAAGGTGCAATGCATTGAATGGTAGTAGGCGGGTTCAATTCATGGTTATAGGACAAAGAAGAGGACAAGTGTCACTTCACTCTCTTGCTCCTTCTCCCCCTCTTCTCTTATGTTTCTTTGTTGGCATTGAGTGTTTTCTTTTACCCTTCCATATTTCTTTCTCGCTCTTTCTCTCGTTTGCCTTTGAACTCGTTAGTTACGTGCATATACCACTGTGTTCGATAACACCCTGTTACTTACTCGCACAACATGCTATACCGTTCTGTAATATACAACATTATAAAGTATTACCATCATCATCTACACACATCAAAATGTGTTTGTACATATGCAACGGAATGCAGATGAAGAAAAGAAAAAAATTGATCTTTCGAGTATATGGCATATGCATACAAAGCAAAGTCATTATATCGTGCAATGATCAATCGATTGTCGAATTATTATTACAAAATTGTCAAGGTGGTTTCTTTTTTTTTGTTTGTCATCATGTCTTTCTGCTTATTATGTTAATTAATCTGAGAACAAAAAATATATACATAAATATATTATTATTTGTCTTCAGTTTTCTTTTTTTTTCATAGGCATCATTGTTAACCTTCTAGAAGAGGTTGGCTTCTTTCATTCACATTTGTTCTTCTTTTGTAAATGTAAATAATGCATTCTAAACTCTTCAAATATTATTTCTAAAAATATAACCTATTACTTAATCATCTGCAAAAAGAAAAAAAAGGTTCATTCGAAATTTATTTGATGTAACTGAGTAATATAAAACTATATCGACATTGTATCTATTTACTTTGTCTTATTAACTTGTCAACATTTAAAATAATACTAATCAACTTACTCTTAAAATTTAAGTTCATTTTTTTACGGTTAACTTTCAAGTCAATCTTCTTTTTTGATTTTTTTGTTGAACCACAAAACATTTTAAACTTAAGTACCATTTGATATATGCGAGACAATAATGATACAAAATGAAAATATTCATGTATTTGAATACTTATGTTCGATATTGATCAACTCATCGATATTAATGTTCACTGAGCATAACGGAGAAGAAGAAGAAGAAGAACTAAGAGCCTGAGTAAAGGTCATTATCAACATCGTCTCTATTTATAGTATGTTTATCTATATGAAATGAATCAAAGAAAAAGAAAGAAGTCGATAAAGTTGCATCTTTTTTTTTTTTTCTTCACTTTATATGACAGTCCTTCGACAATCGTGATTGATCAGTAACATAGTTGTCAAGACATCGATTGTATCTTGTTTCTATAGCTAATTGGGATGAATAAAAATATTGATTTTGTCATCAATAATGACAATGACAAGTGTCTCTTAGTTATATATTGTCGATCATAAAAGCAACAGAAACAAATAATAACATTTTTTGATTTCATCTTCTTTTTTTTTCTTCTTCTACTAACACCTCGAGTCTTTATAAACAGATATTGAAGAATAAAATCATCTACAAATAACCTAAGAACAAATAGAAGTTGTCAGACTCTACGAGTAGAATCATGTTTATGAATACAATTCTATACCTATTAGTAGTATTAGAAAGAATTAAACTATATTGTGAAAAAGCTCGATCATATTAACTATGACTCATGTCATTTGATATCTTATTACTCTTGACACTTGTCTATCATCATAACCCAAGATTATTATAGATGACAATGAAAGATTAATTATTGTTTAGGAACATAAAAAAGCTTTCAATATCCATGTGGTAAATCATATTAAGCTATTCGATTTCTTTTTGCTTATCGTTTATTTTTTTTTTATTGATAATTACAATGATGAAGGATAATTCTGTTTCTAACTTACCAAGATTATTAAATGAAATAAGTATTGTATTTTTGTTATCAACCATAGAATGTTGTTTAGTAGATGTACATATACGAAATAAAAAAGATGATAATGAACGATATTTAGCTAAACGTCGTTCAAATAGAGATAAATGAGGTAAAGTTTTTGTAGTTGATACCATTCTAGGTAACGATGATGATAACTCAAGTGTTGATAATCGATGACCCCAACTCATTGCTTCATTACTTTTATATTCTTTAATCTATGTAATGAGTTTTGTCTATCTATAAATCAAGATTATGTCTTATGAGAGTCACAAATCCAAATAAGGAACTCATACTATTCATCGTATGTACCAGAAGGTCAATAGTACTCGTAGAACAAACTACTGGCACATGTGCTAGTAATACCATCATTACAATATCTTCCAGTTTGTTTGATCTATCTTTTGTAGAATATATATATATAGTGCGTGCAGGAAAAAAAATGGCGAGTATGTGAACAAAAATAAATTATTCAGTACTATGCAGTCTAATAGCAGAGACAACATATCGAGAGAAAGATACATATTATTTCCTTATGCTAAAAAAAAAAAAAAAAAAGATTAATTCAAGATGCCAATAGGCTATTAAGCAGACTAATTTAACATTTATTGAATATTTCCTTCGTTGTATCCTATTCTATATAACTATTTCAGCTATTTCTTATCAATTCATATACTATCATATTATCAATATTTCTTTTAGATCTATAAAGAAGAAAAAAAAAAAAGAAAGAATCTTACAGATCGGTAAATAAGAAGTTATTGATGAAGATAAACTGTGAAGATCAACACCAGTCATTGCTGATGTATTTGAATGTTCTAGAAATAAAACAACGTAAATATATTTTTCATAATCAATCAATAAATTGTTCTGTGAAATTCAATGTCAATTACATATTTAGTAATAAGGTTAATCGATTGTTAGATGAGCAATGAATAAGATCGATGATCCATTAAGTCGTTTTTCATTATTAATAGAATTATTCTTTGTCTATAGTATCTATCTACTTAGTACATTTTGACATTTAAAAATTGTCTTTAATCGTTAAAGAAATTCGAGAAGAAACCAAATAGGAAATCATCGTTTTCTCAAATAAAATACTTTTTCATGAAAAAAAAAATTGTAGACGCACCCCTGTTACTTCGGCATAGTACTTCCGATCGAGTTAAATTTTGTTTTACACATATTATCTATTGCTTGGGATAGGTATGTTCTTTTTAGTAAATTTTACAAAAAAAACTATTAAAAAAAAAACGATGTGTCTCCTAAATTCTAAAAAAAAGAATTTCAATTCGATCGAACATAACATCTCGAAGAAATGGAATAGCCGTTTTTCGCCCGGATAGTCCTATTATCTTGTCAAGATTTATCTGCCCTGAGAATTTTAAAGTTTTATGATAAGCCGTTCTATAGAAATCATAGAAAGGGAGATACTCTTAATCAAAATTTAATGCTTGATCACAATCATATTTTACCTATTGTTTGTGATACAGTTGCTCCATTTTCACTTTTCAAACAGTTTATTTTCCAACTTGGCATATCAGATAAATCTAGAAGGAAAAAACTCTGTATTTCATTTCTTAAGCACAATAATATCATCTATATTCATATGATAGAAGTTAACGTAGACAGTAATGTCGTATAATCTTATGTGTATATCTCTTGACTATGCAAAAAAAAAGACAGTCGGTTAATGTCGTGTTAATGTTTAATGGGACAAATGCATTTATATGTACAAAGATTTGATATGTATATGTTGCTTGTCTGTCTTCTTGCGAGTAGAACATAATGATCAAATGATTTTATAAAACGATGTTGATAATGATATAAAGATGAATAAGAAAAAAAAAACCATCGGACGATCATCTTTTTTTTTGTTTTGTTCGTATAGTGAAAAAAGAAAGATCTTCATTCAAAAATCTTGCCTTTGTAAAAGCAAAAAAAAAAAAGAATTTCATTTTGTTATCAAACTACATAGAAGCAAATAGTCGAAATATTTGTACGTTTCAAATATATAGACAATGATTGAATTTCAAGGTAATACATAAATCAACAAAAGTATATAATGACAGTCATAGAAAAGAATTGACTATTTTGATTTTTCATAGTTATGTGATTGAAGTTCGACAGAATGTTTGATAAAGATAGAAAGAGATAAAGAAAGAATGTGATATTACTTATATGAATTATGATATTGAATCTAAATAATTTGTAATAAATACAGATGAGAATCGATCTTTTTGATAATGATAACGACTTTTATGAGAAAAAATTTTTTCGAAGGTTTTTTTGTCTGATATTTTTTTACTACGAACAAGTCTCAGTAAAACTTGATCGGAAGTATTAATCAGAGGTCAATTGAGTTTTATGTCATGAGTTTTAGATGGAAGTAGAAGTTTGGATACACTCACATCCTTATTAACAGTGTGAGATCCTGATAGGTTCTTTAAATAAATCTCTTTTATAATATATAGAAATGTTGAATGTTTTTGTAAATCATTTGCGTCATAAATTCGATTTCTACATAATATGATCGAAAAGATACCCAATTTTGTTCACTGAACTTTGATATATGAGAAGATAATCATCTGAATTCTGTCTCGAACAATAGATCTGAAGTCTTTCGATGTGTAGAACATGTCAAAATTAAAAGTACATTGAAATAGAGTACTGTTTTCATACATTTTCTTGATGTTTTGGAGAGATAACAAGTTTTAAAATAATTTTCTCTTACATAGAATCAAATTAAAAGGCATGTGACATTCTTCTCTTTGTATTGCTGAGGATCAGAGTAGGCTAAGTATTATTGATGTCAAATTATTGAGTTTACACCTATCACTCTTTAATCTTAACGTGGACTTAATAATAGTGAGATCATGTTTTTCTCTTATTGCAGTTAGTGCTTTAGTTTTTATCTATAATTGTTTTAATTCGTGAGACATGTTATTATAGTCATTTATTAGTTAATCCATTTTGAATGTTGTCATATAGTTTTCTTCTTCATCATAAACTTTTATATATGGGATATGTGAATTCCGACTGTTAACTCCAAACGAGCTATGCTAACAAGTGTTTTCCTCGAGCATTAAAAAACAGCTTCTTTGACATTTTTCTAGTTTGATTTTTTTCTAGTCCTATAGTTTTGTGTGCTTATTCCGATTTGTAAAATGAATTCTATTTAATTAATTTTGACTTTTTGGAAGCTAAATCAGTACAAAATGTAATTGAATTGGATTCAATTCATAAATCGGAATAAGGATACAAAAGTATGGAACTCGAAAAATATCGAATTTCTCTTACAGTCACAGACGAGCAGTAATATTTCTTTGTATGCTTCTGAACAAAGAATTACACACAAATACTGATCATATGCTATGTCTTGTACTAGTATCACCTGTAATATATGATGTAAATATGAGATCTAACTGATCATGTGCAAAGAAGAAATCGAAAATTCCTGTATTTTCTTTATTTTGAGGCTACTCTGTATAAATTTTCAATAAAAACTTCGGACAATTTACATCAAGTCAATATGAGTGATTAAATATTAGAATAATGAAGAATATTTCTATTATTATTACAACAGGTTTATCCAATACTGTGGTTTTCTTCTAAAACTTTTCCATCGGCAGTAAATCTTCTATATTCACATAAAATGACTATTTTTCTCAAAGTAAAACAAATTCATTTCAAATGATTTCTAGGATATGAATGAATCATTGTGAGTCATGAAAAGAGAACACGAGAAAAAAAAAGACAACTACGTAGTACTATGATTATGGGATTTTTTTTTCTCCCTGCTATCTTATTCAAAGCAAGAAAAAAAAAGATAAATACGCGTAATTGTCAAAACATGTAAAAAAAGATATTTCAATCAAGTTTATTCTATTAGAAAGAGAAAAGTTTTTCACGTACAGCAATGATATTATGAGAAATGGATATTTTATTTATTACAATTTTCTGCCTTTTGCGTTAAGGAAAATGTAAACATATTGTCGGTTTTCTTCTAATAAAATTCCATAGTAGTCTACCTTGCTGTACATGATGCTTTCATTTCCAGTCGAATTGGACATGCATCACACAATAGTCATGATTATCGCAAACCAGTACATATTTTTCGAGTATACTAATTGGGTCAGCAGCAATATAGTTGATACAAAGAAAGCGAAATTTGATCAGTAACATTCAATTTTCATCATAAACACGATCAATCTTGTTGTATGCGTCAATCCGAACAGAATATGTCATAATTAGATCTTTCTGATAAGTACCATAGAAGAAATTGAGTTTGTATCTAATATCATATAGCAATGTCTAGTATGATAGTATATTACACATTGCTTGGCAAATTCGAGGGTCAGAGTGATTACTAATTCCAGAATTCTTATAGTAATTTGGGAGGCCAAAGCAATACTTTGACTTTTCTATTCTACTATAGATTGAAATGTCTGAATTACAGATTCAAGCCTCAAGGAAGTTTATATTCTATGGCAGTACTGTAGTTTCGTCGAATATGGACAAAGAAGTGACATAATTACAATAATTATGTACGATCGGGATCAACAAATGTCTACGTGTCATGCTAAATGAAAAAAAACACGATTTGAATAGTGCAGCACAAAATCTTTATATTCCTGGAGAACTTTGCTCCCTTTGATATTGATCAGAATTTTATTCGCGTCCATACTTGCTAGAACAATTTCAATCAATTCTAAAAACTTGAATGTAAGTGCACTTTTTTTTAGAATGAACAGATTTCACCTGAATTGTAACACTGTGTTAGGATGCGTTTTATATCATTCTAGCACACATATCGAGACCTAGTGTATTCTAAGAGAAACAAATAACAGTAGTTTTTGTTCATCAACAGAAATAGTCCCTGATGAATAGCTTAACTTGACTCTTATTACGTTGGTATCTCATTTCAACAATAGAGAACATACGTGCTTGATAAATAGATAAGAGAGCACATGAAAATTACGCTAGAAAATAACGAAACAAATAATGTTGGCTATTCAATGTTTTTTTTCTTTTTTTAAAACTCATCATACAAAAAACAGAACAAGTAGAATAGAATGAAGTGTATATGTATGTTCAAGTATTTAACGCTGTTGATAATAATGTACCCAATCAATTTCCATTTGACGAGGAAAAATATTGTTATCGATACCTTGTGCACCACCCCTGAAAAAAATGAATATGTTTTGAAATATTATGAGATCTGTCTCTTCTTTGCTTATTTCGGAAGCTATCGAAAGTTTCTTTTTATTTAAGATCATATGATCTTATCTGAACGCATACAGTACTCGATTTGACCATGACGAGATCAATTGTAAGTAGTCATTTAAAGGGTCTTCACTTTTCATAAAATATTATAATAATCATGGGAGTGTATTCAAATTTTTGGGGACATAGTCAAATATAGAATTCATATTTTAAAACATTTTCTTCTCTATGCTGATGTACTCACCAATCACCACCAACAGCAATATTGATAAGAACAAAGAATGGTTTATCGAATGGCCTAAATAGAGTACAAATTATTTTTAAAAATTTTATTGTCTTTGAATGTTTCCATCGCGAAGTTTGATATCTTACCATTGTGCCCAATCATCTTGTTTATTCCAAACTAAGATACGATTAGCGAATGGACTTGTTTCATCACCAACGAACGTTTCAATTTTATCTACATTCCAATCGAGTGTATAAATTTTAAAACTTGATGTAGCATCATCGACAATTATCGAATTAGTTGGTTGGTTGCCGTTCATATGATTATATGCCTGTGTGTATACAGTGGAGTGAATACGCAATGGATCATAACCAACTTGCTCCATCAAATCGATTTCACCATTATCTGGCCAATATGTAGTACTGTACGTTTGCTTTTCCGGCAACTATCGTGTATTTTATTTAGACTCAAAAAAAAAAAAAAAAAAAAATTCAATAAATAGTTACCATCCAAAAAGCTGGCCATAGACCACGACCATCAGGTAATTTGGCACGAATTTGCAAACGACCATATGTCCAATTAGCCTTGCTTCTGAGACGAGCCGAAGTATATTGACTATTTGCCATGTTTTCCTGAAAGAAAAAAAAAAATATATATATATGTGCAAGACAGATTCAATACAATTTCTTGCTCTAATCTTACCCGATGTGCCTCAACAATGAGGCGACCACGAGTACTGCCTGGACAGAGTTCACAACGTGCATTTTTCAATCGATTATATGTGTAATATTGTTGCTCATTATTGCCTAAATTAATGACGTATATACATAGTACATACAAATAAGATAGAAATTGAACAAAAAAAAAACAGTTTTACCCCAGCCACTTCCACCGACATCAAAGTTCCATTTATCAAGATCGACTCCACCATTCCAATTGAAATTATCTTCCCATACGCGAACCCATGCGACATTGGCGTCTGATAAACCTAAGTACACGTAAATCAATAATATTTCCATATATCTGAACATTTTTTCTTAGTTTTTCTTTGTCTTATCGATGTTAATTTCTTTCTACATACGACAACGGCACATTGAATGCTCGAATCACCAAAAGGTTACCTTTCTTTTTAATCATCATCAAAATAGTATCTCTTACCTAGTACACCACAGACCATAGTTGGATCAATCGTGGCGTAGGCATCACTTTTGGAAACAGCACCCGATTTCATCCAACAAGTACCACCATTGTATTGAGTCCATGTAAAATGAGTACATCCTTGAGTTTGAGTACATTTCTTACTGCAATGTTTCCCTGAAGTTTGGGCGCTAGACAGATCATTTCCATAGAAATCACACGACATGGCCCAAGCATTTCCGTTCCAATTGACGACACCATGGCCATCATAAATTACACCACAGACCCTAGTTATATCATTGGTTGAGATAGCATCATTTTTAGAAACTACACCCGATTTCATCCAACACGTACCACCATTGTATTGAGTCCATGTAAAATGAGTACATCCTTGAGTTTGAGCACATTTCTTACTGCAACGTTCCCCTGAAGTTTGAGCGCTAGACAGATCATTTCCATAGAAATCGCATGACATGGCCCATTCATTTCCGTCCCAATTGACAATACAATTGACACGATCAAGAAACAAAATATTTACGGCTATAAATCCAAGTAAAGTCCAAGTAGATAGAATATTAATCATTTTGTGATTCTGATTGTTGCTCAATCAATATTTATAGACAAGTTCTAAAAACAAAACTTGTTTCTGTCATTAACTACCAATTATGTTTAGTAAATCTCATTTATTATTCAACTAAAGAACAAGAACTCTGTAGAATCACGATACTATATTATCATATGAATTTAACAATCTTTCAACATCATATTAGATTTGTACACTCCTATCACCAGGATTAGAGAACATATCGGAGAAATAAAAATACTGTACACGTTCATTTTGATTTGCCTAGAAGTAGGTAGTAGCAATTTAACTTATAAAAAGCTATATCTCGAGAAGAACACCTTACAAAGATTGATACAAAGTTAATTGGATTAATGCAATATAGAAATATAAATATTAGCTTGCAGAATAGTAGTGAATGCTCTAAAACGAATTTCTTTGTTCTTCAACTTCACTGAAAATAAAATATAGAAAATTGCTGAAATCTTTGAGTTAAGAGCTGTAGAAAGTTGAAGAAAATTGAAAAACCGATACACTTGACATGAAACCTATTAGAAAGGCTCATCAAATGAAAATAGCTAGCGTAACAAAATAAAAGTTATGATCGATGAAAGTATCACACAACTGTTTATGAGAAAAAATTAATTTGTTCTTTGAAAAATTGTTATTCTCTCTGAGCACCTGGTAAACAAAATCAACAAAGTATAAATTTTGTTCAATTTAATCGTCTTCTTTATGCATTAGTCTAATTAATCAACGATAAATTTACTGATTCATTTTAGTACCTTGGTCATGTTAACTACTATTAGTTTTTTACTCTTCGACATTTTCTGTCACAACATCATCCTAGCATAACAAATAAAATAGTCTACTTACTATTATAGTATAAGATTGTATTTGACTGTTAGTCTTGTTTGATTGATGATCATTTTTCATGCATATATATACATAGATAGATATACGTAGATATAGATGTATAGATATTGCTCGAGTGAAGTTACCTGGTTAACTTCCCACTTATGCTTGTTAACACGGAGAAGAGAAAAATGTCTTCTTGCAAAAGGTAAGCAAAAATCATGAGTCACCATGATTTATTCATTCGTAATTCGATCATTCGTTATGTTAATACACTATGAAGTTCATTTTCACATTATTTTGTTCTGGAGTCATTCAATGAACAAGCGTAGATAGGAGAACAACCAACCTAGAAGAGGAGCGTTTCATTTTGAAAAAGCACTAAAAAACTATGAATCAACATCACTTAATTATTCATAAAAAAAAATAGAGCTCATTTTCTCGTATAAATGGTGCTGTTATCTATTCCAGTAGAGTTAGCGAAAATAATATTTTAATTCATTCTGCAAATAGTTAAACATTGTAGTCATTAGAGCTCAGTAAAATGGATAATAACAAACGGATAAATAAACAAACGATGCTGTAATAGTATTAGATGATAACATGTCTTCTGAAGATTCATTGTTGTCTGTTATTGAATGTCAATCTGATCTATTTGATTCAGGAGTGAGTGTGAGGAGGTGGTGTTGATGTGAAAGAAGAAAAAGCCAACAATCATAGAGAGATGGGCAAAAGAAAAATATCCATCAAAAATAATATGATCTAAGTTGATCATCACATATCATAATAAATCGCTCTCATTGAAATTTTATTATTATGATATTAATTGAAGTATGATCAAATATCACTGAAAAATAGAGCATTATGTTTACTATCACTAGATATCAAGAGAAGGTTAATTGAAGCTTTCTATACACAAATAAAGTCTCTTCTCCACTAATTTTGGATTGTACTCAGTGGTATAATATTTAATATAGTTAATCAAATGAATAAATATAACAATAAAGGAGAAGAGTTTATAAGATCGTAAATCGGTCCATAGGATCTTTTTTACTGGAACTCTTATTGTCTTAGATGAAATGACATAAAACCTTGAAACAAGCATTTGTTGTGATGAAGCTTATTATTTTTCAATTAATAAATAAGAAGTTTGAACAAGGTTAATGTGTGGTTCTTTTGAACCTGAATTACTTCCATGATCAATCTGAAACAGTACTTATGATCATATAAAAAGAATGAGAGAAAAAGATTTTTTTACTATACTCAGTAGAGATCATCGGGTCCAAAACTTTTTGGACTCGGACCCGCTGGAGAATTTTTTGGACTCGAGGCTTAGGGGTCAATTTCTTATGGGTTCAGACTTGAACCAAACTCGTAAACCCTGTTTAATTTTCTAATATAAATCTGATTGTTGCTCTAGGATATGTTACACGCTTGTTTTGTTTTTTTCTTGTTCCATCAGAGATGTCATAATATCCATAAGCTCGGTATCCGCGAGTTACTAGTCACGATATCCAGTGAAATGAATACCCTATCTTTAAAAAGTGAGGAATTTGAGTGAATTTGGTGTAACGAGATGGATACCCGAAAAGTTGGTGTTGGTGAGGGTGTGGACGTCGGTTTGTGTTTTGGTGTTAGTGTGTTGGCGCCCGGGGGGGGGGGCAAAATGCGGTTCTTCACTGTACCCCAAGATTATATCAAAACAATTCTTTAAAACAAGCTTTGCTATTTGAAGTTTATTATCGACCTGTGCTACGATGCTTTACGTGGAATCCAGCTTGGATATGTCTGTTTGGCAGCAAAGTCAAAACACTTAGCTCTACTCTACTGACTGCGGAGCAATTAATTGAGTACGTTGTTTCATCGAAGATATATTAAATAAACTGCGGTGTTGCCGCAGGATACGATTCTCTGTACATTCCAGTATATTTTATTTAGTTTTTAATTCAACCAGAAGTCTTCCCGAATGATTCAAAGTTAGTTTCCATCGAGAGCCGCGTAGTTGCTTCAAACTCACTATAAATTCCTCACTTTTTAATGATAGGGTATCCATGTCACTGGATATCGTGACTATTAACTCGCGGATACCCAGCTTATGTATATTATGATATCTCTGCATAAATCCCACATATTGATGATAATATGTTTATTATTCAATTTATTTACTAGCTGATCTTGTTCAATAACAAGACTCCTGATTCGACAGCTGCACAATTGCAGAATTCGTCTCTTTTATTCGGCGTCAAATCTTATTTACACAAATTGAACAAGTTGTGCTCTTTCAAGCCTAATAACGAATACAAGCAGAACCAAGATCGTTTTTCTCATTCGTGTTGTTCGATCTGGGACGTTTTTTCTTGCATCCATTTATGTTTTGTTTTATTTTGTGACTTAATGTACATCGTTTCATTACATAATCTCAATATTGTAATTTTTATCTCTTACTATTTAATCCAATATAAGTAGATGTTATTTGTTGTAAATATCTGAAACAAACTCTTCTTGCACCTTTTTCACGCTATAAAAACCAGATCAGTTTTATGTCTTCTTACTTAAGTCTGAAACTGCTATGACTTTGTTTTAGTATATAATATTAGAAAAAGTGGGGTCCAGTATAGCAATAGCTTGAACTACTTAAAATTATTCTACAAAAAAAAAAACAATAATTTCCAGATCACATATATTAATAAAATCTATTAAATACTTCATCGATTCGGGGTCCAGATCCTAGCAGCGTAACTAAGTTTTCAGGCTGGGATGGACTCAGCATCCAAGATTCTTTAAGAACTATTGAAAACTCTATGAATTTCTTCCATCTTTTTGAGTAGATGTTGTACTTGCTTGATGTTCACTAATATATCTTGTGGAACTCATATTTTCGAAGAAAATAATGAGTGTAAGTTTTAAGATCAAGTTTTCGCAGCTGTTTGCTCCTCCTCCCTTCTCCACTACAGACACTTAGCAACGAAAGTCCCATTATAGACTTTAGCAATCAAGAATAATAGGCGTCAGATTTTCTAGAGTTTTTTTGCAAAATTGATCAAATTATAATTTTGAAAAATAATGAATATCTTTATTTGTGAGTTGATTAATATATATATTAGTGCGTAAGATGTGCTGTAGATATCATGAATATGTAAAATAGACTTATTTGTTAATTAGTTCAATGATTATAATAATAAGAAAATTAAATTAAGAAAAATGAATTTAAAAAAGATGAAATATAATGAGCGAATAGCAACAATGAAAACAAAAAAATAGGGCATCCGTAGAAAAAAATAAAAAGTTCTCTTCGAAATGCAGAAATTAGAGGCTCTTATTTCAGTGATTGATTATCTTGCTAAACAGATATAGTCTACGAGAGATTTATCACTTTACGTATTTTGTATTAGTTTAATGAGGCTACAGATCATATATGAGTTCCACATTTCAGCCTCAAAGGGACTGCGCTAACAAGCTTTTTCTCTCATTCTCTTTAAATGATTAGGAGTACCATAGCAAATTAGTCATGAAGGTAATTTAAATTTAAAATTCTTTATTTATTAGTTGAACAATAATATGTTCTATCATAAAAAATGTTTATGTGAACACAATTTTTTATTTGATAGAAATATTACTCTTTCCAACAAAAAAAAATGTATATATATTCGATTACTTTAGAAGTCGGTAAAGTGGTCTAATAGAGACTGACATATTTTCAATTTCTGTTGCAACGCATATTATTCTATTTTTATGATCATTAGTTGCTTAATACTCATGCATAGGAGAATGAAACCTTTATATTGTAGCTTAAATACGATCTCAAGATATGATTTTCTCAGCTTTTAATTAAAAGTATCACCAAGATTGATCAAAACATGAATGTCCTTTTCGATTTATTATTTCACATGCCAATAAAAATGTTCATACATGTAAGTAGAAATCTATAACAGATTATTAAAAATTATTTTCTTTAAAACAGAAAAGAAAGTCTAGAATTCTTGATTATTTCATCTAAACCTACTAAATTCTTTCAGTTTTCTTCGTTAGAAGAAATTTGTTGTAACATGAAATAATTTATTTTTATTTACAAATCAATCGATAAAGTTTATTCATATTTATATGAAAACAACTGATTGTTATTAAATAGTTCGTCTATGAGAAGCTCTTATAGACTCTTCAAGCATAATTATTAGTGTATGTGGTTCAAAACTTTTTGAAAAACATCCTTTTATTCTTTTGATAAAAATTGTTCGAAATAATTGACTTGTTAATGTATAAATATAAAACGATTTGACATAATTAGTATAATAGAGAAGTGTAGTCAATGACATTAAAAATGATCCTATCGTTTTCTTATCACCAGTAAATAATGGTCCAAGAATATAATATGCATAATAAATCATTCGAGTTAAAATCAATAATGAACTTAAACCAATTTGAACTAACATCATCTAAATAATATTGAAAATATATCAAATATTAGAAAAATTTCTACATGAATGAAATACTTGATAGAGAAAAAAAAATCACTTCTATCCAATGGAATGAATGTAATTAAATCATATAAAATTTTTTGCGATCACCTATTTCGAACTTTTTCCCATAAAACACGAGAAAAGGAGTTGAACAGCTTAGACTGTTCTAGAACATTTCAAAATCTTTCTCGAGATTTCAATAACCAGAGTCAGTTCAATTACTAATGTCGGCGTCAGAAGTAGATGGAGAAAACTCAAGGAGGAGTATCTCCTGAACGAATGCAGCTAGCGACCTGTGGTTTTCACCATTAGAAAGAAAACACCCAGGGACATCCACACATGGTAAAATATAATTGGTCAGCAATGGACCGATCAGATGCATTCTCGATGAAAATGTTGAGCACGGTATTCTGGAGCTGTTTCTCAACTTTGTTCGATTGTTAATTTACGTTTTTGATAGAAAAAATTGTTCTCTTTCGATCTACGAAAAGTC